CGGGCAGCGGAGACAGACGCGGTTGGGTTGAGCAAGGGGGTGACTGGCCCGCCCCAGCTCCCCTCCTCTCCCACGCTCCTGCTCTCGCACCTGGGCCTGCCAGGCCTGCCGGCCGCCCCCCCTGCACTCCTGCTCTGCACCCAACGTGCGCCCTGCTCCCGGGGATACTGGCGAGCGTGGGCACCGCCCGGGGGGGCTCACAGGCCACGCTGGCTCAGTGGCCCTGGTTTCACGCACGGCTGCACAAGAGCCGCGTGGCTAGCTGGTCTCCCTGGTGCCCGGCCGATCTCCCTCCCCGCCCGAGCCACGGGTCTCAGACCTCCATGGCCTTACACCCTTCTGCAAGCCACTGCCCAGCACCTGGCAGGGGCCTGTCCCCAGCCGCAAACCCCTTTGTCAGGCCCAGCCCTCTAGAAGAGAGGGAGAAAGTGGGGGAGGGGGCGTCCGAGCGTCCATCTGTCCCACCCGGGGAGGCGTCACCTTGGTCTGAGCTTCCACCACCAGCGCCACGTCTTCGATGCGGATTCCAAAGTCCCCCTCCTGGTAGTAGCCGGGTTCTGGGGAGCAGAATGGGAGGCCGGTGAATCCCGTGCCCTAGCGCCCGGGTCACGCTGAACCAGGGGTCTCCCTCGAGCTCTGTGGTCCCACTTCCCGGCATACCTCCAGGCAAGCTAGACCCCCGGCCCGGCCCCAAGTAGAGCCCTGGGCTGCATGCCTAGGGGATCTCAGGAAGGCTGATGCTCGAGGCAGAGGGCGCTGGAGGGGAAGGACTCACGTACCTATGGATGTGAACATCCCTTTGGTCAGGGGCACGTTGTTGGACTGGAATCCCACGGGCCCTGCCGGGAGGAGATGCCACGTTTGCAGGAGCAGGGCGATCCCGGAGACGTCCGCGCCCTGCTCCTCACGCAGGCTCTGCTGGAGAGGGGGCTACCCCTTCCCCATGCACAGCGCCCAGGGACCTGTGCTTACCACACATCTCCCCAGACCCCAGCATGCTCAGCCTCCCAGGGCCCCCGCTGGCCTCCCGCACTAGCCAGATATCCAGGGGGCGGGCAGATGCCAGGCGAGGAATGGGAATTCCTGGCAGGCAGCCGTCCCTCGTGCAGGGCCCCTGGATCCCAGAGGCTGGCCAGGCAACAGGAGCAGGAGCACAGCCCCCCTGTGCCTGTCCAGTCCAACCCCCGGGTGGGGAGGAGAGCCGAGGGGCACAGGCAGCCCGCAGAGCACCTACACTCATGAACAGACAGAAAGTTGCCGATGCCGTGGCCAGTCCCGTGGCCGTAGTTGAGTCCAGCCTCCCACAGAGCACGGCGCGCGAAGGCCTCAACCATTCGCCCTGAAACACACAAAGCCGAGAAGTCCTGGGAAGAGAAGCCACGTCCCCCGTGCGCCTGCCTGCGCAGCAGAACGCTAACCTGTGTTCTAAGAACATCAGCACGGCCAGCCTGGGGCAGACCAAGGGTCCGTCCAGCTCAGTGCCCTGTCTGCCGACAGCGGCCAAAGCCAGGCACCCCAGCGGCAGGGAACAGGGAATCCCAAAGTGATCCCTCCTCTGTTGCCCATTTCCAGCCCCTGACAAACAAAGGCCAGGGACACCCACCCTGCCCAGCCTGGCTCGTAGCCACTGATGGACCCATCCTCCATGAACGTATCTAGTTCTTTTCTGAACCCTGTTTAAGTCCTGGTCTTCATGACACCTTCTGGCAAGGAGTTCCACAGGTTGTCTGTGCGCTGTGTGAAGAAAAACTTCCTTTGGTTTGTTTTATACCTGCTACCTATTCATTTCATTTGGTGACCCCCTAGTTCTTGTTATGGGAACAAGTAAATAATGTTTCCTTATTCACTTTCTCCACCCCTGTCATGATTTTATAGACCTCTCTCCTATACCCCTCAGTCTCCTCTGTTCTAAGCTGAAAAGGCCCCATCTTTTTAATCTCTCATCACAGAGGACCCGTTCCAAACCCCTCATCATTTCTGTTGCCCTTTTCTGAGCCTTTTCCAGAGCCAATGTATCTTTTGAGATGAGGTGACCACGTCTGTATGCAGGATTCAAGACGTGGGCCTATCAGGGATTTCTCTAGAGGCAATAAGGTATTCTCTGTTTTAATTTCAATCCCTTTTTTTTATACTGTTCGGCCCCAGGTGTTGCGGTGCGTGTGTTATTTTGTTTGAGCTAACCTGAGCCAGGCCTGGCAGAGCATTACAGAATCTCCCAGTGACTGGGTCTGGTGTGTCTCTCTCTGAGAAGTAAGCTCTATGGCCAGCCCATAGCTAGGTACAGAACCCTGGCCTGCCAGTAGCAGCCCTGTTGCTATGTACAGGAAGCACATGACAAGGCGTCAGAAGTAATCTGACGCCAGAGGAGAACAACCAGAGGGGAAAAAGGAAGAGAGGTGGCAGGATCTGCAACACCTACAAGAAGTTCAGCTTGGACAAATGGAGAAACTGGAAGGAGTATTTTGGAAGATTTCCAATTGCTACACGCTTATTTATTATTATTTACCTCTAATTAATGCTATGGGGAAGCAGGCAGAGCACATTTTTAACTCCTTTGACTGTACTGAAGCCAGTCACAAAGATGTGTAGGAAAGGGCTCTGGGGATATTTGATGTATACATTCTTTCTCAGAGAAATGTGGCTTATGAAAATGTGTGTCGTCCCCAGAGAACCACACAATGACGGGGGGAGGGGACAGGGGATGTTTTATGAGAACTCTGCATGCATGGGCTGAAAACTGTGATTTTGGAACTGCAACATGCGACAGTCTCGGAGACAGGCTGGTTCCTGGAGGTGGGGTAAGAGATAAAAATCTTTCTCCGCTGCTACAGGTGAGAAAGCTGCCTGAGCTAGTCAAACAGCAGAACAAAAGGCAGGAGGAGCATCTTCCAAAACCTGAAAGTAGCTTATAAACAGACACTTGAGAAACTTAAAAGAACCCAAAGAGTCTGGTAGCACTTTAAAGACTAACTTGAGAGTCCTACAAGCCGGTCTCATAAAACCCCAGAGGCAAGAAGAGAGAACTGGCTGGAAGGGACAAATTGCAGCGTGAGGGGCGGAGAAAGTCCTGTCCCAAAAGACGATGCACCGCCCGCCAGAGGCACCAGGCACAGAACATGCACAAACCGTGAACAGCACCAGAGCAGTCAGGGGATCTGTCACTTGTGATGCCCCAGAGCCTGCCGAAGAGTGAAACTGAATATTTATGGTAAGACAACTAACTTTAGAACTGACTCAGAAGCCCACGTCAGTCATCTCAAAAGGGCCTTGCAGAAACCTCACTGGCCCCCCACGGCGTTCCGAGCTGCATGGCCCGGTCCCCCACAGAAACAGCGGACAAAGATGCTTGTGGGATCAAAGGACCAAGCATGAGCAGACTCTCAGCGGGGCTGCCGGGACGGGCCTAGTGAGAAAGGCGAAGGAACTCGACAGACTATCGGGGATATTGGACTGCTGAGAAGGGATCTGGTACAACCTACCTCAAGAACAAGGCTGAACTGTGCAGTGTGAATACAGATCGCTAGCTTCCTCCCATCCCTGAGTGATAGAGGACAGAGTGGACTGGCATAAGCAAGAAAGTCTCTGAGCCGGGGGCATGGTGGGCTCCAGAGGGGCTGGTTGCAAAGAAAAATGAGGGGAAAAAATCTGAAGAGTAGGATGCACTCAGGAACGGGCCGGAGCTGAAACGAGAGCCACACGACCCTTCTGCAGTGACACCCCCGGCATGGACTGGTCAAGTCCAACACACCTTGGCTGCCGGGGCCAAACCAAGAAAATGCCTTTCATAAGGCCCACAAAGGGATCCCACAGCGCTGGGTCTCACGCACGATGGTGTGAACAGCCCCCTGCTCGGAGTGGAGGCGAGCGAGCGACGCCCGAGGAGGTGCCATTGCCACAGCACGGAAACCGGGTGCATTTCACACTCACCGATGCAGGAAAACAACACACCTTGGCTGCCGGGGCCAAACCAAGAAAATGCCTTTCATAAGGCCCACAAAGGGATCCCACAGCGCTGGGTCTCACGCACGATGGTGTGAACAGCCCCCTGCTCGGAGTGGAGGCGAGCGAGCGACGCCCGAGGAGGTGCCATTGCCACAGCACGGAAACCGGGTGCATTTCACACTCACCGATGCAGGAAAACGACAGGCACAGGCGGCAAAGGATGAGCACACGGGCAAGGGGGGACTTTCTCTGGTCACCCTGTGGATTGGATTCATTGACCAACCCCCGCCCTGGGAACCCACATTGGCAGAAAAACCCTGGATTTCCTGGACCCCCCACTAGCAAAGGACATGGACCCGTGGGAGAGAGTCCAGTGCAGGGCAACAAAAACCATGAAAGGCTTAGAGGACATGACCTACGAGGAGAAGAGGAGGGATTGGGGCTTGTTCAGTCTTCAGAAGAGAAGCGCGAGGGGGGGTTTGAGAGCAGCCTGAAACTCCCTGCAGGGGGGTCCAGAGAGGCTGGAGAGAGGCTGTTCTCAGTGGGGGCAGGTGGCAGACCGAGGAGCAATGGGCTCAAGTTGCGGTGGGGGAGGTCTAGGTTGGAGATTAGGAAAAACTATTTCCCTAGGCAGGTGGGGAAGCGCTGGGCTGGGTTCCCTAGGGCGGGGGTGGAATCTCCATCCCTGGAGGTTTTTCAGTCCTGGCTGGACACAGCCCTGGCTGGTCTGATTGAGTTGGGGCTGGTCCTGCTCTGGGCAGGGGGCCGGACTCGGTGGCTCCTGAGGTCTCTTCCTGCCCTGGGTTCTGTGACTCTCTGGATCACATGCCCAGCAGGGCAGGGGCTTGGGGGCATGGAGCCAGCTGAGAAGCCCGCTCTGGCCGGGCACTGCATGGGGCTCCACCAGTGATGCCAGGGCAGGGCTGTCCCCGGGTCGCACTCACCTGACGTTCCCGAGGGGAAGACGAGCCTGGCCAGGTCAATGTTTCCCATCAGCACTCGCGTGTAGGCTTCCTGCGCGGGGCAGATGAACATAAGAACATAAGAACGGCCGTACTGGGTCAGAACAAAGGTCCGTCCAGCCCAGTGTCCTGTCTGCCCACAGTGGCCAATGCCAGGTGTTCCAAAGGGGGTGAATCGAACAGGGAATGATCAAGCGATCACTCTCCTGCCATCCATCTCCACCCTGACAAACAGGCTAGGGACACCATTCCTTACCCATCCTGGCTAATCGCCATTGATGGACTTAACCTCCATGAATTTATCTAGTTCTCTTTTAAATCCTGTTATAGTCGTAGCCTTCACAACCTCCTCTGGCAAGGAGTTCCACAGATTAACTATGCACTGTGTGAAGAAGAACTTCCTTTTATTTGTTTTAAACCTTCTGCCCATTAGTTTCATTTGGTGGCCCCTAGTTCTTATATTACGGGAACAAGTAAATAACTTTTCCTTATTCACTTTCTCCACACCACTCATGATTTTATAGACCTCTAGCATATCCCCCCTCAGTCTCCTCTTTTCCAAACTGAAAAGTCCCAGTCTCTTTAATCTCTCCTCATATGGGACCCGTTCCAAACCCCTCATCATTTTAGTTGCCCTTCTCTGAACCTTTTCTAATGCCAGTCTATCTTTTTTGAGATGAGGAAACCACGTCTGTACGTAATATTCAAGATGTGGGCGTACCATGGATTTATGTAAGGGCAATAAGATATTCTCCGACTTATTCTCTATCCCTTTTTTAATGATTCCTAACATCCTGTTTGCTTTTTTGACGGCCGCTGCGCACTGCGTGGACATCTTCAGAGAACTAGCCACGATGACTCCAAGATCTCTTGATTAGTTGTAGCTAATCATACTGTACGTATAGTTGGAGTTATTTTTTCCAATGTGCGTTACTTTACATTTATCCACATTACATTTCATTTGCCATTTTGTTGCCCAATCACTCAGTTTGGTGAGACCTTTTTGAAGTTCTTCAGTCTGCTTTTTTCTTAACTCCCTTGAGCAGTTTAGTATCCTCTGCAAACTTTGCCACCTCACTGCTTACCCCTTTCTCCTGATCATTTATGAATAAGTTGAATAGGATTGGTCCCAGGACTGACCCTTGGGGGACACCACCAGTTACCCCTCTCCATTCTGAAAATTTACCATTTATTCCTACCCTTTGTTTCCTGTCTTTTCACCAGTTCTCAGTCCATGAAAGGATGTTCCCTCTTGTCCCATGACAATTTCATTTACTTAAGAGCCTTTGATGAGAGACCTTGTCAAAGGCTTTCTGGAAATCTAAGTGCACTATATCTACTGGATCCCCCTTGTCCACATGTTTGTTGACCCGTTCAATGAACTCTAACAGATTAGTAAGACAGGGTTTCCCTTTACAGAACCCATGTTGACTTTTGCCCAACAAATTATCTTCTTCTACGTGTCTGACAATTTCATTCTTTACTATTGTTTCGACTCATTTGCCCGGTACAACAGGAGGCAACAGTGCAGGGAGCACCCCCTGCTGGGACAGGGTGGTCATGCAGCCCCACAGCCCTCCTGCAGGGCATCCCAGCTGTGCTGCTGGGGTCCTAGGCCCCACCACGCCAGCAGCTAAAGGAGACTCTACTCTAGCGCGGGGCCTGTGCTTCTGCAGCAGGGGGAGGGGGCCTGTCCCAGCTGGGGCCTCGAAGGCTCAAGGCCCATGGGGTGTGAAGCTCCAGCCGGCTGTAGCTTTGCAGCGGCTGCCGCTAGGAGCCCAGGGAAGAAAGCGGAGAGGGCCCTTGTTACTGACACGGGCAGGGAGCGGGGGCCCTTGCTGCCTCCCCCGCCAGCGACGCAGGTCAGCCCAGGGCAGTCACAGACTGCGGCAAATAGGGCCCAGCCCAGCCCAGTACCTTCTGGAATGGGGTGGGCGTCCCCCAGTGGACAGTCCGGGTTATGTCCGTGGTTCCACCCCTGCAGCAGAGCAAAACCTGTCAGCAGCTCATCCAGGAGCCAGGCCCTCCCGCCAGCAGAGCGCTGAGCTAGTCCCTCTGTGGCAGAGCGGACAGCTCCTGCCCTGGCCCTGGCCCTGGCCCTGGCCCTGGCCCTGCGTGGGACCGGAGGCACACGGGGCTGGCCAGGGTTCCCTGCAAGCTGAGCGTGGATTGGCAGAGTGCACACAGCCGGCAGTGTTTCTCCTGGTGGTGCACATCCACACATGGCTCAGTGCATGCAACAGGGTTTATTCCGCACATGGGTGGAAACAATTCGAGGGAACATGGCTGGGCGTGGCCTGAGGGTCGGTGGCTCATTGCAGCCACCGTGGCTGGCCCGTTTCTGGACACGGTTAGTGCTGTGCTTGTGGGGACAGAGCTGGGGCAGCGCGAACACGAGGCCCGGCCATACGCACAGATATTGCCCTCCGGAGTCTGAAAGGTACAGCTCATCCACAGACAACTTCCGGCTGCTGACGTTGGATGGGCTGGAAGGGAAACACCCCACAATAACGGAGAGATCCTGCTAGCAGGCCCGGGGAGACCCACCAGCCCCTCCCAATCTCCCGCACGCTCATGTGTGAGCCAGGCCAAGGGCGCTGCAGCCCCTGACCCCCAAGAATGCCTGGATTTGCACCCAGCCCCACACCCCACGTTTGCCCTGGGGGCTGGGGGGAGCAGCCACTCGGCCCTGAGAGGCTGCAGCTGGTTCCCCTCTGGGCGGGGGGCAGTTCTGTCTTGTGCCCTGGGCTGAGAGCCCCCTGGTCCCGGTGGGCAAGGCAGGTCCCGGCTGTGGAGGGCACCAGGGCTGATCCTGCCCCGGAGAGGCTGCGCCCTGGGTACCTGTAGTGGGCGAGGGCCGCGTTGAGCCCGCTGGCAGAGATGGTCTCGAAGCTGGGCCCCCGGCAGTGCTCCTGCGCTCTGGAAAGGAGAAAGGAGGCCGGGGAGGCGGGGGGGCCGAGAGGGGGCAGCCCGGCGAGAAGGGGCCAGGGCACTGGCAGGGGCGCAGCGGGAGGGGAGCACAG